AATCCTGTGTGATAAATTATACAATCCTTTTGTGCTTTCATTGTGTATTACTTATAATCATCATTCTATATTGTTATTTATGAAACTTTGATGAGGATTTTCAATTTACCCTATAGCCTCATTTTCTCAACTAGTCGAAATTTCCTTCTATTATCATCTTGGCACTTTTTTCAAAAATTCTTCTTTTGCTCAATTATTATGCTGCCGTATAAGTTGTAAATATGCTGCACTGCTTTATACTTTTATGAATGTTAAACTGTATATCAATTGTTTAATTCTAATTTTATTACTTTTGCTTCTATTTTTACGTTCTAATTTCGTAGTTAATTGACTTTTAGAGAACTTTCGCTGTGCTCATTGGTAGACCTTATTCATTTCCTTCTCTTGCCATTCCAGTATCTAGAGAGGCTAGAGATGCGCCTTGACCAGCTTAAACGAGAAAATACTCAACTACGTCAGCAGAACGACGAATGGCGCCTTCGATTTTCCCAGATAGAGCTACGTTACAAAGACTTGCAGGCACACTACACATGTCATCTGCGCAGTATGAGTGACTTTGAAGTCGATCCACGGCACCCAACTGATATAGTCAGCATTTTGGCTTCCTCTGATGATGCAGTAATTGCAAGTTCATCTGAAACGGTCGTCGGTGTCCCGCAGCCGGCCCTCACCAGTCGTATGACGATATCTGGAGTTGGTTCACTCTCTTCTGCTGGTCCTGTGGATGCAATGAGATCCCACGACACTGTATCAACTGGAGGAATAGGCAGTGGACTCGAGAAAACAGTAGTATTTACAGCGCCTGCCGAAGAGGAAATCAGCGAGATTCGCCGTAATGTTTCTCTCCCATCCGGATCCCCTGTAGCCTGTCTACCTAATTTCCACCAAGCAAATGAAGCTGCTGCTACCGTAGTTGTAAATACTGAAATTCAAACGACTGTCTTACCAGCCAATCGTTGTGCTCTACGAGTTCGACAAGAGTCCCACCATGAGGAAATCGCGTCTGGGGAGCCGAGACCTCTTCGTCTTTTCCCCCTCCGGCACACTTCTACGGCTGCAAGTTTCGATACAATCTCCTCACCCTCCATTTCCCCGTCTGCATCTCCACCTGCTCTTATGATCCCTACTAAGGCAGCCTTTTCGTCTTTATCCTGCCCCACCACTCTCAGTAATCTGTCTTTTTCCCTTTCATCTTCACCCTATTCCCCCAGATCCTCCCTTTCTGCCGTTTCTTTGGCCCATTTGTCTAATACCCCTACAGCGTCATCTGCATCTCCTCGTCCATCTCTCGATGCTCTCCATGCTCCAGCACTGGATACTTCAGCTACACCTGTCAGAAGGCGACTCATAATGCCTTTGGCTTCTTCTCGGCTAATCTGTTCGGCTGGTGCGTCATTTTTACTCTTTCTGTGGTACAGCCTGTTTGCTCTTCTAGCATATATTCCCCCCATGTATCGTCTATATAAAGGATCATTCTGTTTATTCAGGATCGCTCACGATTTCCTTTTCTTTTACAGTATTTTATTTAATCTGTTTATATGTTGATTTTTTTTTTCTGCAATTACTTCCTTCATTATTCACTTTTCAGATAGATTAGGCTAAGGAAATGCGAAGATTACTGGATATCTGTTGTTTCTTCATTTAGATGTCTGGTATTCTCAACGTTGTCTACTCTTTACTTATCTGCACTTCTGGTGTTTTCATTTTATTGCTTTTGTTTATCCTTTTCTAATGTCATTCCCTCATTTCGTCATTTACTGGTTTCGTTTTGCCTTACTTTATTATCGCTTTGACATTACTCTTATGCAACTACTATTCTGTGTCCATAATTAGTTATTAGTTATTCTTAGTGTGTACCAATATCATCAGAAGAGTTTTTCGGTATCCATGGCTTATTTTTCAGTCCTCCAATTAGCGCTGGTGAAAAATTTTGGATTGCATTTCACGAAATTATTTTTCGTATAAGTGAAGTTTCGAGACTACAAGTACGGTGAATACACTTCATATCATGAAACTATTGCCCGAATGCCTTCACTCCTGAATATTTTTAGAAAAACTATCTTATTTTGAGATTCTAACATTATCATTTGATCATCTTATTCCAATATGCCTCTTTTTCTTTTATCATAGCCGCTCAACCAAAGATACTCACTAGCCTCTCATCAAGCAACGTCATAACCTCAGCGGCCTCTATCACTGTCTCAACAGCAGCTGCACCTGATGCCTCTAACCCATGCACCTTGGTACTTCCTCCTAAATCTGGCTTGCTTCAACATTTTTGCCAACCTAATGGTACATTTCGAACGTCTTCCGCCATCGTTGATACCACTACATGCATTGATGATGAGCCTTATTCCAGCTCCGTCTCTTTACCATCTTCGTCATCATCTTCCATACCGAATCCTGTTGGTTACGGACTGTCTGGAATTTTGCCGCCTGTATCTAATGGACACCAGACTACTAATCATTCCTCACAAATTTCGTTTACTCGACCCTTACAGAAAACTAGCGCTTCATCTACATCTTCCTTAATAAAGACCAGCCTCCCTTCCAATGAATGGACCTTAGGAGTGGGCGGGCGGCCAACTCCATTTATGATGGCAAAAAGTACACTTGATCGGGTTGATGGGCGTTTGGATAAAACACTGGTCAAGCGGTTTACTTTGCAGTCTCCTGTACATACAACCTCAGTGATGCCCCAAGTGTCTGGTATGCTTGAACTTTGACAAGGATTTATTAAATTCATCTTTTATTATTTGGAAGCCGTTATATTAAGTCACGTCAAAGTAGTGTTAATGGATTTGCTTCCATACTTTTGAACTAAATACGGTATCTTTTTCTGATTACATTAAATTTCCTTTCTGGGTTTTTAGCTTGGCTCTGTATAGCTTAAAATGCCTCTATTACTTACATTATAAGTTTAATCGTCGCTATTAACAGGGTTTGGCTTTGCTACTGGCAGGTGTATTCGATAACAATTGTTCAAATACAAGTCCTGATTTATTTACAAAAAAGGATCATAGAGCTGTGAAGATTTACGTTAATTTATCTGAGTAAGTAACTAATAGTTCCTTCTTTAATCCCAACGCCATTTAGTAATCCTGCCTAAAATTATCTTGGGTAATATATAAAGGGCTAATAATGAAAATTTGCCTGATGTTGGAATACCTTTCATTTCGTTTGATGAGGTGAGTGGAAGGGATTCGTAAGCTGACCTTACCGAAAGCTGTAAGGAAGCTGGGATTGTAGATTTTTATGAATAGGTC